AGAGTTGCACATGTGTCTAATTTATCTATAAGTTACTATTGATCTAAGCTCAAACGACACCAAAAAAAATATGCCACTATTGAGAAAGAGACTCTAGCTTTTGTGGTGTCCTTGGAACATTTTGACGTGTATTTGGGCACTTCCCCATTTAAAATTAACATTTTTTCAGACCACAATCCACTCACCTACATAAATACAATGAAGAGTAAAAATGCTAGGATCATGAGGTGGGCTCTCAGAATCCAGCCTTACTCTATTAGTATACAACATATCAGAGGTCATTGTAATGTAACTGCTGATGCTGTCACGTCCTTAATTATCATTGTTACATTTAAATTAACGTAATTTTATGCCCGAATACCTTTTGTTACTTGCTACGTCAAATTCAGTAAAGTAACGTAATCTATCAAGCCCATGTTAACTATGTATACTCATGTCTAATTATTCTATTTATATATTCACAGTAGTGGTGATATATGTTGGTGTAGGAAGGAGACAGTTGGAGAGAGAGAAGCTGAGTGCTGAGTGTGTAGTGTTGTGTGGGCGATGTTAGTTGCCGAGTGGTGAACAGTCCTGCCGCAGCTCCCCCCCCCCCTCTCTACACACCTTAGTTACGGCACTCAAGCTTTCTCGTAAGCAGATGTCCATACTGCCTCGCAATCCACTACCACTATTTAAGAGTGGAATGCCGTCTCCTGTCTATCGCACAAGACTGCTGTTCTAATATAGTCTCCACTACTATGATCGAACCTCAACGTGTCATGCTGTCTACTGCCCTAGAACGAGGGGCATAACTTAATAGTGAAATAGACACTGTAAAATGTAAGAAGTGCTTGGCACAAGAGCGACTGATATTTTTTTTTATTAAATTGTGTTAATAAAGTGACATGAGTAATCAGTAATCATGTGAAAGACACTAACGCAACTCCTAGTGCGACGTTTGTCGTGCTGGGGGGTACTGCGACCCCTGAATGGGTCACAATGTATATAACCTGTTCATATTTTATATTGCTTATATTTGCAATATTAGCTAAATCGTAAATACAGTGGTCCACCGCTTTTCGTAGTTCCCGCAATCGTAAAATTCGCCAATCATAGGGTATTTTCATATAAACATGGACTCGCTTTTCATAGGTTGACTCGCGAGTCGTAGTTTCGTCCGGGACGCGTACCCACGACGTGAGCCAGGGCGGCAGCCAGTCTGGCATTGTTTACCAGTGAGCAAAGGTCCCCTCACGTGCTCCAGCGAAATATTTCATAATATTCCATTTATTTTAGTGCTTGCAAGTACTAAATAAGCTACCATGGCTCCAAAGAAAGCTCCTAGTGCCAAGCCTGTGGTAAAGAAGGTGAGAAATACAATTGAATTTAAGAAAACCATCATTGAACAATATGAAAGTGGTACAAGTGTGGCCGAACTGTCCAGGATGTGAAGGAAACCCTACACAACCTTATGTTCCATAGTGGCCAAGAAAAATGAAATAAAGGATGTCTGTTGTTGCAAAGGGAGGTAACTATGCTGACAAAAATGAGATCACCAGTACTGGAAGAGGTTGAGAAGTTATATATTGGTGTGGATAAATGAGAAACAATTAGCAGGAGATACTCTAATGACTTCGTTTATTTGTGAAAAGGCTAGGCAGTTGCATAAAGATTTGGTAAAGAAATTGCCTGCAAATAATGGTGGAGTGAGTGAATTTAAGGCCAGCAAAGGCTGGTTTGAGAGATTTAAGATAACCGTACTGGCATACACAGTGTGGTAAGGCATGGTGAGGCTGCCAGTTCGGGACCACAAGGCGGCTGAAAAATATGTGCATGAATTCCAGGAGTACATAGAGGCTGAAGGACTGAAACCTGAACAAGTGTTCAATTGTGATGAAACAGGCCTCTTTTGGAAGAAAATGCCAAAGAGGACCTTCATTACACAAGAGGAAAAGGCAATGCCAGGACACAAGCCTATGAAAGACAGGCTGACGTTAATGTTCTGTGCTAATGCTAGTGGGGATTTCAAAGTGAAGCCATTACTAATGTACCATTCTGAAAATCCCAGTGTGTTCAGGAAAAACAATGTTGTGAAGAGTAAATTGTGTGTGTTTTGGAAATCTAATAGTAAGGCATGGGTCACGAGGGAAATTTTCGTCGAGTGGTTCAATGAAGTGTTTGGCCCTAGTGTGAAGGAGTATCTCTTGAAAAGAAATTGGATCTCAAGTGCCTGCTAGTAATGGACAATGCACCTGCTCATCCTCCAAACTTGGATGACCTAATTTTCGAGGAGTTTGGGTTCATCACAGTAAAGTTCTTGCCCCCGAATACCACTCCTCTCCTCCAACCATGGACCAGCAGGTTATTGCAAACTTTAAAAAACTCTACACAAAAGCAATGTATTCACAGGTGCTTGACTGTGACCACAGACACTCACCTGACCCTAAGGGAATTTTGGAGAGAACACTTCAGCATCCTCCACTGCATAACCCTTATAGGTATGGCTTGGGAGGGAATGACTACCAGGACTTTGAACTCTGCCTGGAGAAAACTGTGGCCAGATTGTGTCGACAAGAGGGATTTTGAAGAATTTGGGACTGACCCTGTTGTAAAATCAATTGTGGCACTGGGGAGTTCCATGGGGTTTGGATGTGAGTTTGGAGGATGTGGAAGAATTGGTGGAAGACCACAATGAAGAGCTCACCACTGAGGAGCTGCAAGAGCTTCAGCAGGAAGAGCAACATCGCAGCTCAGAATCTTGCTGCAGAGGAGGAAGAGAGATGGAAGAAGGTGCCTTCTTCAGAAATTAAAGAGATTCTTACTATGTGGGGTAAGATGGAAAGCTTTATGGAGAAACATCACCCTAAACAAGGTTGTTGCAAGCCAGGTTGGCAACATGTACAGTGACAAAGTCTTGGCCATTTTAGGGAAGTGTTAAAGAGATGCCAGAAACAGAGCTCTCTCCACAGTTATTTTGTGAGACAGGACTCCAGTGACTCAAGGTGGTCCTAGTGGCATTAAGAAACAGAGAAGAGAAGCAACCCCAGAAAAGCAAATGGTACCCGAGGTGTTGATGGAAGGGGATTCCCCTTCCAAACTATAAACAATCCACTCTCCTCTTCCATCTCCCATACACTAAGTAGAATCTCCAATAAAGGTAAGTGTTATGCTGTTAATGTTTCATTCATCATTTCCCATTGTATTGTTTATGTACTACATGTATATTTCATGTTAAAAATTTCTTTGTTTTAATACTTCTGGGTGTCAGGAATGGATTAATTGTATTTACATTATTTCTAATGAGGAAAATTGATTCGTAAATCGTAAATTTCGTTTATAGTAACGGCTCCAGGAACGGATTAATTACGAACAATGAGGGACCACTGTATATTGCTTTATATTATTATTTGACTTAGTTATATTATTAGTTAGGATATAACATTTATATATTATTCAGTGCTCATAGTTCCAGTGTTAAGTAGCTGACGGCCTTGTCTAACAATCGTTTCGCTTGTTTCCTTGCCCGCTTCTGTGTTGCTGGGCAGCAGCAGTCCACGGAGAGTCATGTGATCAGGATGGGGTGATCACACCTCACCTGGGGGAGAGTCTGCCTGGCCTGCGATCGCTCGTCTGTTTGACGTTGCTTCCAACAAGATGTGCCTCTCCAGCTCTCCATTGCTGGCCCTTGTTGGAAGATTGCCTCTGTCGCTTTGTTGTTGTTGGTTCTGTGCAACTCTGTTCACAGAACATAGCCTAGACTTAGTGATTTTCGACGCTGTACTGAGGTTGTGCGAGTCTCATAGACACTCTGAGAAACTCAGGTCCTGAGCTGTAGCTTCTGACCTAATCTGTACTGGTATCTGTGTACTGTCACAGTCGGGGATTTTCTTATGCTGAACTTAGATTCAGTAATATGGGATTTTTGTGACTTTCGTGGAGGATCTGCAGATGGTCCCTACTTAGTGTCGTTATATTATCTCCTTGTTCCTAATTCTGTGTTGCTGTTGCTTGTTATATTGCTGTTTGGCTTATCAGTCGTTTCTGATTGCCAGGATGGTCAAGAAGTTAGTTTATGTGAGGACTTTTAGTCAGTCACTGGTTAAGTATAGTCGAGTCTTGAGACATAGCAAACTACTTAGAGCACTTACACACACACACAAACTTACTTGTATATATATTAGTATTATGTTATTAAATGCTAACAATGTACCAAACGGTACTTAAAAGCCATAAAGATGTGAAATGTGCCTTCAGCACAATACTATTGTACATGAGAGAAGTGTAGGAACTTGTATCCTATATTATGTTCAATTGATTACTCTAATTTACTTTGATATTATACACCTAGACAACTTTATTGTTATTAATAAACTTATTAAATTTTAATTTCTTTAGTTAGTAGCCTACCAGTTGTAATCCTGAAGCACTATTGAATCTTACTAAATTCTAATGGATAATTGGACCAGGATACTGACTACTTGTTACAAAAACCCAGTAACAGGTTGGATGCTAGAAGGACAGTCCTTTCTAGTATTCACTGGAGATCTCTATCATTATTAGATATCGCATTATTTGTAACAAGTTCCATATGCAGACTTCCCTCCCAGCTTGCCTGGGATGATGTGGTCATAAACGTCACAGCTTAATTTTTGTTTTTACCTCAATAGTCATCTCCCACCAAGGCAGGGTAACATCTCTTAATGTTTATGTTAAATCAATAATCTTATAGAAAAATAAGAGATAATGAGAGTCTTACATGGTAGAGTAGGAGCAATACAACTTGTCAGCCGAAGCACAGGGAGTTGAGAGAATTAGAAATAGAGGAATCAATCATCAGTTGGAAATGACACCCTTCTGTATTTCCATCAATTAATTGGCTCCTCAAGCAAGCTCTTCTACTGCATCATTAGCTCTGAAACTTTTTGTCAAGTGGTTGGAAGTCTCAATGATATTTAATGAAGAAAAAATATTAGAAAAATTTTGTAAGAACATGTTGAGAGGAAAGTAGGAATGCTTACCTGTGAAACTGAAGGATAATCCTGGAGTGTGGAGTGAGTATAGTACTCACCATCATCGTCCATGTGACATTTACCATCATTCGGCTTAACAATACCGCCAAGCTGAAATCATTATCACCTTATGTAATGATGTTCCATAAAATTACAAACAAGGATTTTTTAATAAAATATACTGCAAGAACCTTATTCACTACACTATTATTACTGTACTGTGACAGCAGCAACTCCAATTATTTTATGACAAATTGCACAATACTTTTATACACAACTGTAATACCAGTAGTTATGTTTTGGCTGCTACCTTTATGAAAATATGAGGAAGGTGACACTGGGTACTTTTTAATTTCAGACCTGATAATATTCTTGCTAACACTTGTGGCAGGTGCGCACATCTCCACCATCGTTAAACTGGGAAATAACTGGTCTGTTAGCTTTAACCCCTAAATGGTCCAAACGTATACATACTTTCTTACTGATAGGGCCCCAAACGTATATACGTTTTATTTTTCCTGCCTCCAAATTTGGCACAATTGGCTTGAGATGCCTGGTCAGCATAGAATGGGTCTTAACACTCGGCATGCACCATATTAAAAAATCTGGGACCGCTTAGTACCTTGTGGGAGCACCAGTTAAATTGAGTGCCAGCTTGAGCTAACAGTGTGGCAAACATCAAGGATTCACTGATGTAATGTCATATTAACACTCCCCTTTTAAGAGGAAAGTGATGTTAACCCCAAGTTCAGGGTCTATCTGTCTTTGTCTCTATCTGTCTCTGTCTGTCTGTCTCACAGGTACACACAAATACACTTATACATAGTGTAAATTACCTAAAATAACCTAAAAAATCCGAAGTGCTATACTGTGCTTGTAGATATAATGCATAAGAATACCTGTTGGTTCACAGTGGCTCGCTCTGAGACAGAGAGACAGGTAATCAGAGACTAAGATACAAGCTCATCAAATGTCACCTCTTATCTCTGCATCCTCGCTGGAGCCCATCAAATGTCATAGCTTATCTCGTCTTATCTCTACACCCTCGCTGGCGCCCATCAAATGTCATCCCACATCTCGCCTTATCACTGCCATCCCGGATGCTTGTCAGACACTTGTCTTACATAATGCTTCAAGGGAACTTTTTCCTTCTTCCTCCTCCTCCTCCTCCCTTCTTCTATACTCCTGTGTATCCAAAACATTGCTGGGACCTATACATACTTTGTATATATTCCTAGACAATCTAGGTAGTAGGTTGGTAGACAGCAACCGCCCAGGGAGTTACTACCGTCCTGCCAAGTGAGTGTAAAACGGAAGCCTGTAACTGTTTTACATGATGGTAGGATTGCTGGTGTCTTTTTATTCTGTCTTATGCAAGATTTCAGATATGTCTTGCTACTTCTACTTACACTTAGGTCACACTACACATACATGTACAAATATATATATACACACACACCCCTCTGGGTTTTCTTCTATTTTCTTTCTAGTTCTTGTTCTTGTTTATTTCTTCTTACCTCCATGGGGAAGTGAAACAGAATTCTTCCTCCGTAAGCTATGCATGCTGTAAGAGGCGACTAAAATGCCGGGAGCAAGGGGCTAGTACCCTCTTCTCCTGTATATATTACTAAATGTAAAAGGAGAAACTTTCGTTTTTTTCCTTTTGGGTCACCCCACCTCGGTGGGATACGGCCGGTTGTTTGAAAGAAAGAGATTCCTAGACAATAGTAAATGACCAAGGCAGGTGTAAATGTCCATCTGTCAATGTGTTTGTGACAATTTGAGTACAATTTCAGTACCTAATATTAGTGTCAGAGCAAAGATTGGTTATGAAATAACAAGAACTACAATAAATTGTAATTATCAGAACATAAAAATAATATAAAATATAAAAATGAGAAAAAATGGTATCTCGGCAACACTTCTGCAAGCGGAAGGACTCGATGTTGCCATCAGGTAAGCATTAAGTGCCAACTTTGCAGCCTCATATCTCTAAGTACTGACCCTAATTTTTTTTTTATTTTAATCCTAAAACACTTAGAAAATTTTTATCTATTTCTATGAAAAAAAAAACTTTTTCAAAATATTTGGGGCACTGGGCGAGAGAACATATATATACGTTTGGACCGTTTAGGGGTTAAAGACCATCAGTTGCCCAAGGATCATCAACCCTTTGAGGGTCCAGACCCCCAAATTAAAAATTCCCCAGGGTCCAGGAATTAAAAAAAAAAATTGAAACGTTAGAGAAACTTTTTCTGATGGTAATAAAACAAAGTACAAAACTTGATAAAAAACTGATGAAATTGCACTCATGAATTTTGCTGTGGCAGCGATTTTTGCTGACTTTTGAGTCCTATTTTTGGCTAATTACTTTACTCCATTAGACCAAATTTTTAGTTATTTTGTTACTATGTGTTCCAGTTTATCTACCGAGCACAAGAAAATTACCCAATCAACTATTTCAACTACCCAATAAAGTGACTTGAAATTGGTAACTTGGTTAATTTCACACAAAGTTCAAAATATTCCAATTTCAATATAGGTTCCAGAATAAACAATGCAGGCATTCCTGGCACTAAACATTCTGTTTATTAGTTATGTTTCCAGGCTTTACACATGAATTACATTTTGTTTATTCACAAAGAATTTTTATTCATACCAAAAAATAGAAGATTTACTGTTATGCAATATTGTATAAATAATATCAGCACATTCATCAACACACATTTTAACCACAGCTGATGTGTACAGGATGCATGATGTGATTTGTCTACTCTTGAACATCGGCAAAACTCGAACATTTCTGCTAATTTGAGCTCAATTTCAAGCTATTTTCAGTACTAAAAATAATTAAAATAATCTCAATTTCTGTACTATATCTTTCATTCTATCACAGGAGATCAACAAACCACAAATACAACTGTAAAAGCCATACGAAAATACACCACAAAATTGCCGTTTTAATCTAAAAAAGTCGTAGTTTTTTCCTCATTAAGCACTGCTTGCTGCAGGATTTGTTTTATAAGATGCACACTTACCACAGATGCATGCTCTCATATCTAGGCTCAAATTTACCGCTCATACGCTTATACCCTGCCTCGGTCGGTGGGAGACGGCCGACTTGTTGAGAGAGAGAGAGAGAGAGAGAGAGAGAGAGAAAAAAAAAAAACCTTATCTGAGTGAAATAAGCTCATGACGTAGTACTATGGCTTAGATCCTGGTTTCAAAGCTGTAAAACTACGGGACAAACCCTCAAAAGGTTAAGGTTGCATGTCACCGGCACACTTCTTGCCAAGGACATTGTAATGAATAGATGAAAAGTGATCAATTTTGATCTGAGGAAGTGAGAATAGCACCAATTCTTTGGCCTTTAGCCAAGCTTCCTTGATGAATGCCTGATCAACCAACCATTGCTGTTAGCAGCCCACTGGTTCACACAGTTTGTTTGATCCAATACTTGCCAGAGTTAGTAATTCTGGTTACTCATGGAGGAAATTGAACAATTACCTTGCCATCACCAGCATAATGGAAGCCAGCATCAGTGGAGAAAACAAGCAGTCTACGAGCTTCCTGCCTCCAGTTGATGTTCTCCTGACAAACAATGGCTTGCATAATAGCATCAAAACCTCCTTCAGGTGCATCCAAGTTACCAGACACAGGAGCATCTTGAACTTTTTTCTGTGAAGAAGAATGGATGAAATACTTTGTAGAAACAAGTCATAACAGATATTACAGAAAATTAAAAGAACAACTTTCTACAATTTCCTAATTACATATGTTGCAGATGCACCAATTAAAAATTACTTTTTCATATAAATATGACATACAGTACAATTTCACATGCAGTACTTGTTCCTGATTACAACTGTTGTATAAAAAAGTATTATGTAAACTGAATCCCCTATGGGAAAGATAGGTCAGGTTACCTGACAAACAGGTTAAAATACTGCATTAACTTTTAAAGCTTTATTTTCCTGTGTATTTACCAGAGCAAACTTGAGAAAAAACTGTCCAAGAGCTGGAGAAATACCCATGAATTTTAATATTTATTGAGAAAACAGTCTTTTCCTCACTGTATCGTGCATTTAAAAGTACAGTGGACCCCCACCTTATGATATTAATCCGTTCCTGAGAGCTCATTGTAAGTCGAAATTATCGTAAAGCGAATTAATTTTCCCCATAAGAAATAATGGAAATCAAATTAATCCGTGCAAGACACCCCAAAGTGTGAAAAAAAAAAATTTTACCACATGAAATATTAATTTTAATACACACAAACTGAAGAAGATGTGCACAATTACTACTCTACTAAGAATAGAATACATGACACTTACCTTTATTGAAGATCTGGTGATGATTGATAGGATGGGAGGAGGGGAGTGTGGAAGTTATTGTTTAGAAGGGGAATCCCCTTCCATTAGGACTTGCGGTATTAAGTCCTTTTCCAGGGTTACTTCCCTTCTTTTAATGCCACTAGGACCAGCTTTAGAGTCACTGGACCTCTGTCACACAACAAATCTGTCCATAGAGGTCTGTACCTCCCGTTCCTTTAAGATTTGTCTAAAATGGGCCACAACATTGTTGTTGTAACAGTCACCAGCACGGCTTGCAATAGTTGTGTTAGGGTGATTTTCATCCATAAAGGTTTGCACTTCAACCCACTTTGCACACATTTCCTTAATCTTTGAAGTAGGCACAATGGATTCCACAACTGGCATAGGCTTCTCAGGGTTAGCCCCAAACCCTTCAAAATCTTTCTTAATTTCCATACTAATTCTCACCCTTTTTACCACATGGTTGGCACTAGAAGCTTTCTTGGGGCCCATGGTGACTTATTTTGCAGTTACAAGCAAAAAAAACACTGGGATAATATAAAATGTACCGAATGTATGTGTGGATGCGACTGCACTGGTTGGCTTGTAAACACTGTCGCTGAGGCCACATGTGGGATGGGTCCCAGACGAATCGCGTAAGGCAAGTTTTTTATCGTGAGACGAGGCAAAATTTTTGAGTTAAAATGTATCGTATGGTGGATTTAACCGTAACGCTATGTCATCGTACGGCGGGGGTCCACTGTAATAATTTTTTTTTTTTTAACAAGTCGGCCGTCTCCCACCGAGGCAGGGTGACCCAAAAAAGAAAGAAAATCCCCAAAAAAAGAAAATACTTTCATCATCATTCAACACTTTCACCACACTCACATTATCACTGCTTTTGCAGAGGTGCTCAGAATACAACAGTTTAGAAGCATATATGTATAAAGATACACAACATATCCCTCCAAACTGCCAATATCCCAAACCCCTCCTTTAAAGTGCAGGCATTGTACTTCCCATTTCCAGGACTCAAGTCCGACTATATGAAAATAACCGGTTTCCCTGAATCCCTTCACTAAATATTACCCTGCTCACACTCCAACAGATCGTCAGGTCCCAAGTATCATTCGTCTCCATTCACTCCTATCTAGCACGCTCATGCACGCTTGCTGGAAGTCCAAGCCCCTCGCCCACAAAACCTCCTTTACCCCCTCTTTCTAACCCTTTCGAGGACGACCCCTACCCCTCCTTCCTTCCCCTATAGATTTATATGCTTTCCATGTCATTCTACTTTGATCCATTCTCTCTAAATGACCAAACCCACCTCAACAACCCCTCTTTCTGCCCTCTGACTAAAACTTTTATTAACTCCACACCTTCTCCTAATTTCCACACTCCGAATTTTCTGCATAATATTTACACCACACATTGCCCTTAGACAGGACATCTCCACTGCCTCCAACCGTCTCCTCGCTGCTGCATTTACCACCCAAGCTTCACATCCATATAAGAGTGTTGGTACTACTATACTTTCATACATTCCCTTCTTTGCCTCCATAGATAAGGTATTTTGACTCCACATATACCTCAAAGCACCACTCACCTTTTTTCCCTCATCAATTATATGATTAACCTCATCCTTCATAAATCCATCCGCCGACACGTCAACTCCCAAGTATCTGAAAACATTCACTTCTTCCATACTCCTCCTCCCCAATTTGATATCCAATTTTTCTTTATCTAAATCATTTGATACCCTCATCACCTTACTCTTTTCTATGTTCACTTTCAACTTTCTACCTTTACACACATTCTCAAACTCATCCACTAACCTTTGCAATTTTTCTTTAGAATCTCCCATAAGCACAGTATCATCAGCAAAAAGTAACTGTCAATTCCCATTTTGAATTTGATTCCCCATAATTTAATCCCACCCCTCTCCCAAACACCCTAGCATTTACTTCTTTTACAACCCCATCTATAAATATATTAAACAACCATGGTGACATTACACATCCCTGTCTAAGACCTACTTTTACCAGGAAGTAATCTCCCTCTCTTCTACACACCCTAACCTGAGCCTCACTATCCTCATAAAAGCTCTTTACAGCATTTAGTAACTTACCACCTATTCCATATACAGTGGACCCCCGCATAACGGACGCCTTGCATAGCGGACAATCCGCATAACGGACGCTTTGATCGCTAAAATTTTGCCCCGCATAGCGCCCAAAAACCCGCTCAGCGGCCTTCGTCCGAGACGCGTCCAATGTGCGGCCTGAGCCACGCTCACATGTTCCGCGGGTGGCATTGTTTACCAGCCAGCCTCCGCGGTAACATCCAAGCATACAATCGGAACATTTTGTATTATTACAGTGTTTTTGGTGATTTTTTTCTGGAAAATAAGTGACCATGGGCCCCAAGAAAGCTTCTAGTGCCAACCCTACAGCAATAAGGGTGAGAATTACTATGGAGATGAAGAAAAAGATCATTGATAAGTATGAAAGTGGAGTGCGTGTCTCCGAGCTGGCCAGGTTGTATAATAAACCCCAATCAAAACCCTTGCTACTATTGGTGGTACAGCTGCTGCTGCTGCTGTATCACCATCAGCTGCTGCTGCACTGTCAGCTGCTGCTGCTGTACCACCGTCAGCTGCTCCTGCTGCTGTAGTACCGTCTGCTGCTGCTGTAGCATCATCTGCTGCTGCTGTAGCATCGTCTGCTGCTGCTGTAGCATCGTCTGCTGCTGCTGTAACATCGTCAGTTGCTGCTGTAGCATCGTCTGCTGCTGCTGTAGCATCGTCTGTTGCTGCTGTAGCATCGTCTGTTGCTGCTGTACCACCGTCAGCTGCTGCTGCTGCTGTAGCATCGTCTGCTGCTGCTGCTGCTGTAGCATCGTCTGCTGCTGCTGTAACATCGTCAGTTGCTGCTGTAGCATCGTCTGCTGCTGCTGTAACATCGTCAGTTGCTGCTGTAGCATCGTCTGCTGCTGCTGTAACATCGTCAGTTGCTGCTGTAGCATCGTCTGCTGCTGCTGTAACATCGTCAGTTGCTGCTGTAGCATCGTCTGCTGCTGCTGTAGCATCGTCTGTTGCTGCTGTACCACCGTCAGCTGCTGCTGCTGTAGCACCGTTGTTGGTGTGGCTTATTGAGAATACCAAGAAACAATTAACCCCAGAGGATTTGCCACCCAGGATAGCCCAAAAAAAATCAGTGTCATCGAAGACTGTCTAACTTATTTCCATTGGGGTCCTTAATCTTGTCTCCCAGGATGCAACCCACACCAGTCAACTAACACCCAGGTGAACAGGGAAAATGCCTGGAACTAGTGCTCATATTGGTGAATTTAGAGCCAGCAAAGGTTGGTTTGAGAGATTTAAGAATCGTAGTGGCATACACAGTGTGATAAGGCCTGTTCTGGAAGAAAAATACCAAACAGGACCTACAGTACTCAGGAGGAAAAGGCACTCCCAGGACACAGTGTCTCATCAGTCATTGCTGCATCTTCAATAAAGGTAAGTGTCATTTATTCTTCATTTAGTAGTGTAGTACATGCACAATATATATTGTGCATGTACTACTCTACTATTGTGCATGTATCCTTCTCTTTGTGTGTAGGAAAATGTATATTTCATGTGGTAAAATTTTTTTTTTCAAACTTTTGGGTGTCTTGCACGGATTAATTTGATTTCCATTATTTCTTATGGGGAAAATTCATTCACATAGCGAACATTTCGCATAACAGCCAGCCCTCTTGCACGGATTAAGGTCGCTATGCGGGGGTCCACTGTACTTGCAACATCTGCCACATTGCTCCTCTATCCACTCTATCATATGCCTTTTCTAAATCCATAAATGCAATAAAAACTTACCTACCTTTATCTAAATACTGTTCACATATATGCTTCAATATAAACACTTGATCTACACATCCCCTACCCACTCTGAAGCCTCCCTGCTCATCCGCAATCCTACATTCTGTCTTACCTCTAATTCTTTCAATTATAACCCTACCGTATACTTTTCCTGGTATACTCAGTAAACTTATTCCTCTATAATTTTTACAATCTTTTTTGTCCCCTTTCCCTTTATATAAAGGGACTATACATGCTCTCCGCCAATCCCTAGGTACCTTCCCCTCTTTCATACATTTATTAAACAAAAGTACCAACCACTCCAACACTATATCCCCCCTGCTTTTAACATTTGTCATGATCCCATCAGTTCCAGCTGCTTTAAACCCCCTTTCATTCTACGTAATGCCTCACGTACCTCCACCACACTTACATTCTGCTCTTCTTCACTCCTAAAAGATGGTATACCTCCCTGGCCAGTGCATGAAATTACCACCTCCCTTTCTTCCTCAACATTTAAAAGTTCCTCAAAATATTCTCGCCATCTACCTAATACCTCCCTCTCCCCATCAACTTACTCCCCTACTCTGTTTTTAACTGACAAATCCATACTTTCCCTAGGCTTTCTTAACTTGTTTAACTCACTCCAAAATTTTTTCTTATTTTCATTAAAATTTCTTGACAGTGCCTCTCCCACTCTTTCATCTGCTCTCCTTTTGCACTCTCTCACCACTCTCTTCACCTTTCTTTTACTCTCCATATACTCTGCTTTTCTTATAACACTTCTGCTACCTTTTTCTTTTTATCACACCCTTTACTTCATCATTCCACAATCACTCCTCTTCCCTCCTGCCCCCACCCTCCTATAACCACAAACTTCTGCCCACATTCTAATACTGCATTTTTAAAAACTATTCCAACCCTCTTCAACCCCCCCCCACTACTCATCTTTGCACCAGCCCACCTTTCTGCCAATAGTCGCTTATATCTCGCCCGAACTTCCTCCTCCCTTAGTTTATACACTTTCACCTCCCTCTTACTTGTTGCTGCCACCTTCCTCTTTTTCCATCTACCTCTTACTCTAACTGTAGCTACAACTAAATAATGATCCGATATATCAGTTGCCCCTCTATAAACATGTACATCCTGGAGCCTACCCATCAACCTTTTATCCACCAATACATAATCTAACAAACTACTTTCATTACGTAATAATGTACTGTTAAATATTTCACAAACAGCACTCAAATTGGTAAATAAAAATTAACAAGGCAACATACTGCTACACCTGTACTAAGATATTATTTTCACTCCTTTCTCTGCCTTATATTTATCACAAATAAGGATGTAAGGACGAGTGTAATAGAAACTAATGACTGAGAACACACGAGAAAAATTGAGCAAGGTGAAAATGGAGTTAGGAGCAACAAAAACATATACAGTGGACCCTCGAATTTAGTAGTGCCATTTCTGTATGCAAAACTATTTTTATCTATAAAATGTAGTTTTTGTTAATATTTCCCATAGGAAATAATGTAAATCCAATTAAACCATTCCAGACACCCAAAAATATTAACAGAAAATAGATTTTATAGATAATAAAAAGTTTTGCATAGAGAAATGGCACTACTAAATTTGAGGGTCCACTGTATGACCACTCTTGTACAAGCCATGGAAACTGTAGTGAGGAAATATATTAATTTATAGGATACTGAATGCCTCAACTGTAAACTTTTATTGGAATATAAAAGCAGAAATAAAGAGGAACAAGTATCTGTATAGCACATGCATTAAAAAAAACAGGAATAATGAGTGAAAATATAGGTAGAATACACAAAAGTCATTTACACATTAGGTACAAAGGTGAGACAAGACAGAAACTTTTGAAAGGCTAAGGAAAAAGTAAAAATTTTAATTATTTTTCAGAATCACTCAAAATAGGACACCAAGATATATCTCAATGCCAGGGTTGCCAAGGAAATAAAGTCCTTGTATTTTTTTCTTGGGCTCACCCCTGTTGTGGTTAGTGAACTGGTACATAAATTGATGATTGTTAATTTTAAATGACTTAAGATAGAGACTGCATTATATGAGGAGCAAGGTATACTGTACATTTTACATGATACAGAAATAAATTACTGACATGACTGAATGCAAAATTATAGAACAGAAAATTACAAAGGAAAGATATTTATATTTTTTTCGAAGATGCTTCACATACCAATTTATACAAGCGAATATTTCTAAAAACTACAACTAGTGCAATCTACAGTCATGACAATGATGCTGACAGGATCTTTTGTGTAAAGTGCTACAACACTTGGATACAGGCAACTTACAGCAAAAGCATCAGCATTGGAGGTAAGAGGTAAGGCATTTCGGAATCCATAAGGAGACGCACAATCCTTACAAGGAGCCTGAAGCCTGAAAACAAACATTTAAAGTAGTAGGTAAATCTTAGCAACTTATATTCATTATATACTTTCCTATGCTCTTCTTAATGGTTCTTAATTCTGTAATGCTTGTTTACACATTTCTGTAAGGGATTAAGAAACATTTTCCTTGAAACCTTAAGTGTTGAAGAAGATGGCTTGTTACTCCCTTCTTTCATGTATTATCCAAAAAAAAAAAAAAAAAAAGTATAACTATGAAGCCAGGTTAACTGACTACATGTAGATATAACACAAATGCTAACAAAATCTAATGTTACAAATGGAAGGAAAGGGGATGTCCTAACAATAAGAAACAAAGATAACAGGAGTGGAAGAGTTTATATGGTATGGAGTTAAAGGAATCAAGTCAGGTATATTGCGATAGCAAGAGCTAAATGAAGAGCAGTAGTAATCTTGAATAAAAACTTTTTAAAGAATATCGACATTTAAATTCAATAACTGTGTGATTTTAAAATTACTTATGTGAAAAAGGCAAGGGTAGAGAGAATATCTGGAAGGTGTTAAGAAAATGTTTAAGGAACGTTCATGAGAGAATTAATGTTTTGAGATGCCTTAATGTTAAAGTGCAAGATGAAATGGAATAAAGAAAATTTAGAGTGCCTGGAGTAAACAGAGAACCTTTAATTGAATTGTCAATATTCAAACGAGAAGTGAGAGTTGATGAATTTAAAGAAGTGAATGGTTAATGAGGCATGAGGAACTGCTTGAAGAAAGGTAGGCTGAAGTGAGAGAGAGAATCACGAAGATGTTAAAGGAGTGTTATATTTAGAACACAAAAGCAGAATACTGTGACTGGAACAATACATAAATAACCCTCACATAGGAGAAAACTTTATGACAACATTTAGAGCCAGCTTGGACCGTGACCATGAAACTATATCAAAGTTTCTTTCAATGTGCAGGGTTGTTTGTGTAGTGTTATATTTAAGATTGCGGCTGAAGTCCGAGGTTAAAAAGGAGTGCATGTGCAGAAGGGAAGCAAGATGGTACAATGAACATGGTGATAAGGGAGGAAAAAGTTGCCTTATTTAAGCTTTATTTACTTTTTTTTTTTTAACAAGTAGGCAGTCTCCCACCGAGGCAGAGTGACCCTAAAAGAAAGAAAATCCCCAAAAAGAAAATACTTTCATCATTCAACACTTTCACCTCACTCACACATAATCACTGTTTTTGCAGAGGTGCCCAGAATACAGTAGTTTAGAAGTATATACGTATAAAAATAAATAGTATATCCCTCCAAACTGCCAATATCCCAAACCCCTCCTTTAGAGTGCAGGCATTGTACTTCCCATTTCCAGGACTCAAGTCTGGTTATATAAAAACTGGTTTCCATGAAGCCCTTCACTAAATATTACCCTGCTCACACTTCAACAGCTCATCAGGTCCCAAATACCATTTGTCTCCATTCACTCCTTTCTAACACGCTCACGCACGCTTGCTGGAAGTCCAAACCCCTCGCCCACAACACCACCTTTACCCCCTCCTTCCAACCTACCCTGCCCTCCTTCCACTACAGATTTATAAGCTCTCCATGTCATTCTACTTTGATCCATTCTCTCTAAATGACCAAACCACCTCAACAACCCCTCTTCAGCCCTCTGACTAATACTTTTATTAACTCCACACCTTCTAATTTCCACACTCCGAATTTTCTGCATAATATTTACACCACACATTGCCCTTAGACAGGACATCTCCACTGCCTCCAATCGCCTCCTCGCTGCAGCATTCACTACCCAAGCTTCACACTCACATTTACTACATACATAAAAAAGAATCATACATCATAAAAGAAGGCTTTTTCCAACTTAATGTTTCGAATTACCAGTTGTCAACTGATGCCACTTTTTTTTTTACCTTCACATAAACATTACACGAGGACAGTGTGATGTGCATTGTGAGTGGCTTGTGTTCAGAACAAGGTGAGTACAAGTAAGTAACTTGTCTCGACTCATGATTAGCGGATGGAGGATTGAGCTCCGACCACTCCTTGTGTTGAATGGTGCATGCGATTCTCAATAATAAAGGAGTTAACAAGATGATGAATGAAAAACAAGAGCAAATGAAAGAATGGGAGCCATTACCAACAATCTCTGCTGAGAATAAAAACAATCTTGGAGAGAAATAAAATAAGAAACATTAAGCATGTTGTCTTGTCAGTCAATAGTGAAAGTGGTGACAGTCTGGAGGAGGAGATGGAGGTTTAAAACATGAGAGAATATTCTGAAAAATTGAGAGGGATAATACAATGGGGATAAAAATTTCATACATTTAGCAGGGGGAAACAAGATTTGATAGGAAAGAAAAGTCATAAAAAATATGAAGAAAGTGATGCAGGAAATAAGACAAGTGGAAACAGAGATGGAAGTGGATGGGATTTAAATAGTAATGCTGAAGACAAGTGGTGATAAAGGCTTGATTATTATAATTATTATTATTACAATCATAGCTAAGCACTAAACCCACTAGGGTCATACAGCACTGCAAGGTTTGGAATAACTAGTGAATTTGTTCAATGTATGTTGGAAATAAAATCTAAGGATTAACATAAAGAATGCCTAGTTCCTCTGTATATCCATCAAAGCAAAAAAAAGGAGAATGCAGAGGAGTTCAGTGATACCAACCCTTTTCACATGGGCATGAGGCATGGGGTTTAAACATCACAGCGAGGAGGAGGCTAGAGGGAGTGTAGCACATATGTCTGAGAGAAATGTGTAGTGTGAATATTATGCAGAGAATTTAGAGAGCAAAATTAGAATACAATGTAGGGTTCTTGTTCTTTCTTTCAACAAACCGGCCATATCCCATCGAAGCAGGGTGGCCCAAAAAGAGAAACATGAGTTTCTCTTAGCTTTTGTAATGTATACAGGAGAAGGGGTTACTAGCCCCTTGCTCCCAGAATTTTAGTCACTTCTTACGACATGCATGGCTTACAGAGGAAGAATTTTGATCCACTTCCCCCTGGAGATGAAAGGAAATAAACAAGAACAAGAACTAGTAAGAAAATAAAGCCCAGAGGGGTGCATGTATATTAGGGAGCATTGAAATTCTGGTCAAAGCTGTACTCTTCAGGCATTGTTCCTTATGTACATCTTAGATTCAGTGCCAAATATGAAATTGATTGGTTGAGGTTTAGCCTACAGCATTTGCGATTGAAATTTTGGACTATGTATTACTGAGTAGTGCAGTGCAGTGTTTTATGTAATGTATCTATGTACTCTGCAGCATTTATAAACATTGTAACTAACTCTCTCTCTTTTTAGATACTCTACTTTACTACTGAGATGGCTACAATGTCAACCAGGAAAGTCGCAGAACATGCATTGTTCGGCCATGCCAGTGTTCTTCCAATGAACAAACTTCTGTCCAAAGGCGATATGTTAAGGAACTGTTGGTGATACATGTATAAATGTGATGAAGGAAAGTTTACTGATGTTTCAGTGATTATCAAGATAGCAGCTAAGGATTGTTCTGAACTATGGCAGAAATTAACTGGAGACAAAGACTATTCCTATTCTCAGCCAGAAAATTGAGGAAAGATTAAGAAAACTGTACAGTAGAGGAATAGGACTTACGAACAAAAATGTCTCCAAAAAAGCTACATTTCAGGAAGAAATGAACGAGTTGTTTGATATATGTAGTTATTCCCGTCCGGCTGCCTTCTGTCAAGATGTAGGTTGCAAAATAAAGGAGTGTGACAGATACCACCTGGCCTGTAATTGTGAAGTGAAAGTTCCTAAGCGTGAGATACAGTTCCTCTTTGACCAGAGGCGATAGGAAGATGAAAATTGGCTGTATTGACATGACAGTACTGAGGATATGGGATAGAGTGACGGTAAAAGAGGAGCAGGATGCAACCAGAGCCAGGAAGCAGCTGGAGGAAAGACAGAGTGAACTGGCAGCTGGAGAAGTCTCTGAGTTTGACAATAATTCAAATAATGCCAGAGATTACCTTCTGTCAATACTGATGCTGACTATGTTTTGAGTGGTATGACTGCCAGCAGCTCTCAGCAGAACAGAACAAGACTCCCCACACTGGCAACCACATGTGACCAATACTTGATCAGTGATTATGCAGGAGCTGCCATTGCTACTGCCACCTTAATGGACTATGGCATTATCACCAAGGACGACAAAAATCAAGTTATTGGGCCACAGAAGTTACGAGATGCCAGACACAAATACCGAATGGAGAGGCAAGAAAATGAGCTAGCAAACTTGGAAAATATCTCATCACTGTATTTTGATGGTAAGAAGACCTCCACTCGTGTAATGATAAAGAATGAGAAGACCAAGAAATGGAGTCCAAAGATAGTGGTGAAAGATCATTACATCATCATGGTGGAGCCTGGCACTGAATATCTCACTCACGTGACTAACTCAGTAGCCTGTTGTATGTGTTGGTTGTGACGGAACCACCATAAATGTTGGAACTGACAATGGAGCCATTCATCATCCTGAAATGTTGCATGGTCATCCAGTCCATTATTTCATCTGCCAGCTTCATAGAGATGAGTTTTCTACCACTATGACGGTAAGCCTAGTGGTCCTGATCATTGGAGAGGCCCTATTGGCAAGCAAATCAAGGATCCTCTGTCTGAGCTGCCAGTTGTTTTCCAGCCAGTCAATTTCACAGATTTCTCTGCTCTGAATGACAGAGAAATACTTGTATAGGATTTGCAAAGGAGTGATTACAGGTATGGATGATGAGGACTTGGCTGCTCTTGAACCAGGTCCACTGTGTGTGTCAAGGTGGAATACTTTATGGAGTAGGATCCTTAGGCTGTACGTGGCAACATCAAGACCCAGTCAGGAGCTGAAAAGAATTCTCATTATGAATTTAAAGTTCAGTGTTCCAATTTGGTTCCATATCAACCTGCACCCTTAAGTCAGACACGGTCCAAAGAACATCTTCCAGTCACTGCAATTTATGAGACATCTGAACAGTGAAGAAAAGAAGATAGTAAAGAAGAGTGTCCAAAGAAATTCCTACTTTGTTCACACAGATCAGCTGCTTCTTGGTATGTGTGCTGATAAGACATGACTGTGAGAGACAAAGCTGTATCAATGATAAGAAAAATTAGAGAAGACAATCAGCAGACAGAAGAAAGTAGCGAGAGCTTTGACGAGGATGGAGAAGATTCTGCTGATGCTGCTGACGAGGGCTTGTTAATCTACACTGATGATGAGGATGACAGTGAAGATGAAGAGAATGACAATGTGGCTCCTATAGTCAACTTAAGAAAAGTAGTGATTCCCAAACTAAAGTGGCAAGCAAAGAACTATCATTCCACGATTGACTGGAAGACTGAACTCAAAACTGAGCCTCCTTTCATTGCTTCTCTATCAGATCAACAGGTTCTGAAAGTTATTGAAACTTCACTGGAGGTGCCCGAGTGGCCAAATACTCAAGCTGTTGAGAGAGGGATAAAATTAATGACTGAAGTGACTGGACAGAAGGCAAGAGATGGATATATCAGGCAAAGAATATTTTCCAGGAAAGTGATGCTCAAGTTCTGCACCAAGAAAGACATCACTTATAACTTGTAATAGTTTTAAATTAACTAGATGATGACTGATATAACCCATGTGCATTTGATTGTACAATCTTCACAACCAAAAATAATATCTACCATATACACTTGATAATTATCCTGACAACCAATAAATTATAACTAATAGCTTTCAATGGTGTATAATTTGACAAAAAGTCGACTGCAATGTTCCAGGGTAAATGAGCATGAAATGGTCTGAATTTTTTATGCAGAAGTTTGTTGTGACCATGCAAATAATGCCTGAAAAGTGCAGCTTGCATCTCTAAAATTTGTATTTATTCAATGCTCCCTAATGTATGTATATGCTTGTACATGCATGTGTAGCGTGACCTAAGTGTAAGTAAAAGTAGCAAGACATGCATAAAAACTTGCACGTTAATGAGACATAAAAGACACCAGCAATCCTACCATTATTTAAAACAATTTAAGGCTTCCTAGGATAATGTATAACTACAAGTACAATATAATGTATGTTATGTTATAATGCAGTACTACAGATATAATGAATTACACAGAAATAACTAGAGCTTACTTCTCTGGAACAGTACTGACGTAGGGCATGACAACCTTGTCTACAAAGGACCCAAAGCCAAGCTTGAAATTTTTGGTGATTTTCTGCATCTCTTCTGCCAACTGTGCGCCCAGCTTGGAGAGAGACTCCTTGTCATCCTCCATAGACTTTGAGAGATCCATGAGATAGTAGAGATCCACTGGATAGTCCTCTGCCTGCCTGAAGGTCACCTGCATGCTGTATGCCTCTTCTGCTCAGAAAATAATATAATAATAAAAAAAATACCCATGAACACACTAATTATATACATGCATTTTTGTATCAATGCATATTATTATTGCTACTGTACTCACAGGGATGTTCTTAACCCCATGTAAAACAGTGCCTGGGAAATGAGAGATACAGGACTTTGCTATATGGCATTCGCTAATGCAGTGGTTTTTCAATTATATCCATTCTTCCTTTAACCCTTTGAGGGTTTTGGACGTACTAGTATGGCTTACGACCCAGGGTTTTTGACGTACTAGTACGCCTAAATTCTAGCGCCCTCAAATCTAGTGGGAGAAAGCTGGTAGGCCTCCATATGAAAGAATGGGTCTATGTGGTCAGTGTGCATGGTATAAAAAAAAAATCCTGCAGCACACAGTGCATAATGAGAAAAAAAAAACTGACCATTTTTTTTTTAATAAAACAGCGACTTTGCACTGTATTTTCGTATGGTATTTATTGTTGTATTCTAGTTTTCTTGTTCTCATTTTATAGAATGGAAGGCATATCATAGAAATTGAGATGATTTTGACTGGTTTTACAATGAAAAGTACCTTGAAATTGAGCTCAAAGTAGCAGAAATGTTCGATTTTTACCAAAGTTCAAAAGTAAACAAATCATGCCAAGCGTCCAATACACGTCAACTGGTGAGTCTAATATTCTTTTGCAAGTGCACCAATATGATTCATACCATTTTTTTACACTAATGCAGTAGTCTGCAAAACAGTAAATCTTCTATTTTTTGTGAGAATAAAAATTCAAAGTGGAAAGCAAAAGAATGTAAGAGGGGCCTTGAGAGGTGACTAATGAACAGAGGATATGTCATTTTAGTGCCAGGAATGTATTTCTTGTTTGTTCTGGACCCTATTCGGAAATTGGCATCTTTTGAAATTTGTGTGAAATTGGCAAAATTGCTAAATTCTGACCACTGTACTGGATAGTTGAATTGGTAAATGGGTGGTTTCTTGCGCTCATTCAATAGAAAAAATGGAGTTCTAGCGAATATTCATGTTTTTTGTCGACTAGTACAGTGGAACTGCCCGAAAATGGGGCTCAAAGTGGGCAAAATCTCCGATCCGTAAACATCGCCAAGACCGCTAACTTCGCGAGAGCATAATTCCGTAAGTTTTCCATCAAATTTCATATTTTTGGTGTCATTATGATCGGGAAAAGATTCTCTATCTTTTCATAAGAATTTTTTTTTTTTTTAAATTTGGCCGACCCTGAGAACGAGTCTCGGAGAGGGCCTGTCGACCCTCAAAGGGTTAATCAAGACTTCCTACAATAAACATATTCACCACTCACTATATGCTAAGGACAAAAATATTTTAAATGATATGTGCATGTACGTGTATATACATTTTTTAGGGCTAGCTCTATTGCTCACTTAATATATGATAGTGTAATCATGTTATCAGACTGTTATATGTACAGTGGACCCCCGGCTTACGATATTATTTCATTCCAGAAGTATGTTCAGGTGCCATTACTGAACGAATTTGTTAACCATAAGGAATATTGTGAATTAGATTAGTCCATTTCAGACCCCCAAACATACACATACAAACGCACTTACATAAATACACTTACATAATTGGTCGCATTGGGAGCTGATCGTAAGGCGGGGGTCCACTGTATTTGAAAGTGAAAAAAGGCTAAGTCCCACTATACAGAAGTAAGCTGGAATTTAACCTGCTGTATAAGTAAGGTCTACTTGTAATTAGGTTTAATCAAAGGAATGGAGAAACTGCTACACTGCCTTCTGTTTTTCTTTTTGGGACACCCTGCCTTGGTGGGATATGGCCAGTTTGTTGGAAAAAAAAAAAAAAAAACTTCCGCTGTTCTTGTTAAGTCACCTTGCATCAGTGGAAAATGGCCGGTGTGTTGAGAAACTTATGGAATCATGCAAGCACAAATTTGGTGGTCAAAGAGCACTATGCAACAATGATATCATGCACTCTTGAGGCCTACTTTCAGCCAGTGTTGAAAATGCCCCAGTATTCAAAACCGATCCAAAGCCTGGCTATTTCACTAACATGCTTTCTGTGAAAGCAGAAAGCATATTAGTGAAATAGCCGATTACAAGAAACTGCTCATTCATCCATAAAACTACCCTAGTGAAGCACCTAGAAATCAGTTATTTGTCAAATTTAACACATTTTTCAACACAGTGCAACTTAAAAATTAAGTTTTTGCACTACAGGTATTCCAGCCACTAAAGCAACCTCTTTCTTGTTCATTAATCACATTTCCAGCCCTCCATTTTTAATCTACCATGTAAAATAGATGTTTTTCCACTTTCTTAACTAATAAACCATAACCAAGAAGGCTTAGACATGGTTTAAGCTATCCCAATAATTACACCAGACCCAAGAAAAAACTCAAAATGGAACAGAAAAATCACCCAAAATCAATTGTTTCCACCATTTTGCTCAGTTTAGGCAATTCAGTCCTTAACTGACCCAAAATCCTCTGGTTTTCACTCTCTTCCATTCTATCAACTGGCACCAAAAAAATAGACAATAAAACCAAAAAATAAACAAAAAACCCCAAAATCTCTATTTTAACTCCAATACAAGATCCAAGGTTAGCTGTTTCCATCATGTACCATGCATGGGCCAGGATATTGTTTTTTTATTATACAGTGGACCCCCGGTTAACGATTTTAATCCGTGCAAGAGGGCTCATCGTTATGCGAAATAATCGTTATGCGAATGAATTTTCCCCATAAGAAATAATGGAAATAAAATTAATCCGTGCAAGACGCCCAAAAGTATGAAAAAAAATTTTTTTTACCACATGAAATGTTAATTTTAATACACACAAACTGAAAAAGGCATGCACAATTACATGACACTTACTTTTATTGAAGATCTGGTGATGATTGATGGGATGGGAGGAGGGGAGAGCATTATCTTCTTACTGTTTAGAAGGGGAATCCCCTTCCATTAGGACTTGAGGTAGCAAGTCCTTTTCTGGGGTTACTTCCCTTCTTCTTTTAATGCCACTAGGACCAGCTTGAGAGTCACTGGACCTCTGTCGCACAACAAATCTGTCCATAGAGCTCTGTACCTCCCGTTCCTTCAAGACTTTCCTAAAATGGGCCATAACATTGTCATTGAAATAGTCACCAGCACGGCTTGCAACAGCTGTGTCAGGGTGATTTTCATCTATAAAGGTTTGCAGTTCAACCCACTGTGCACACATTTCCTTAATCTTTGAAGTAGGCACAATGGATTCCACAACTGGCATAGGCTTCTCAGGGTTAGCCCCAAACCCTTCAAAATCTTTCTTAATTTCCATACTAATTCTCACCCTTTTTACCACAGGGTTGGCACTAGAAGCTTTCTTGGGGCCCATGGTCACTTATTTTCCAGAAACAGCACCGAAAACACTGTAATAATACGAAATATTCCGAGTGTATGCTTGGATGTTACCGCGGAGGCTGGCTGGTAAACAATGGGACGGCCGGCACATGTGAGGGCACATTGGACGCGTCTCGGACGAAAATCGGTAAGCGGGTTTTTAATCGGTATGCGCGGCAAAAATTTTGCGATAAAAGTAATCGGTATGCGGAAAAATCGCTATGTGATGCCATCGTTATGCGGGGGTCCACTGTACAGTGGAACCTCAAAAACCGAACGTAACAAATATCGAACGTTTCGAAAATGAGACCATTTTTTCGGTCAAACTGTGTCCCAATTATCGAGCGCGCTCCTAATTTCGGACCGCCGGGTACGGGACCTGTCCGCGTCCCCGTGCAGGCGCCATGAACAGTCTAGCTTTGTTTATGTTTGAGTGAACACTAACCTGCGCTCTCATTCACACATTTTACGATTATTTTGTTGTGTTTAGTGCTTGTGGGACTGTGAAATAAGCTGCCATGGGCCCAAAGAAACTTGCTAGTGGTACCCCTGTGGTATAGAAAGTGAGAAACGCCATAGATGTGAAGAAGGAAATACAGTGGACCCCCGCATAACAATGGCATCACATAGCGATTATTTCGCATACCGCTTACTTTAATCGCAAAATTTTTGCCGCGCATACCGATTAAAAACCCGCTCACCGATTTTCGTCTGAGACGCGTCCAATGTGCGCCCTCAGCCAGCCTCACATGTGCCGCCCGTCCCATTGTTTACCAGCCAGCCTCCGCGCTAACATCCAAGCATACACTCGGAATATTTCGTATTATTACAGTGTTTTCGGTGCTGTTTCTGGAAAATAAGTGACCATGGGCCCCAAGAAAGCTTCTAGTGCCAACCGTACACCAATAAGGGTAAGAATACCCATTGAAATGAAGAAAGAGATCATTGATAAGTATGAAAGTGGAGTGCGTATCGCCGACCTAGTCAAGTTGTACAAGAAACCCCAATCAACCATCGCTACTATTGTGGGCACCAAAAAGACAATCAAGGAAGCTGTTCTTGCCAAAGGTTCAACTGTGTTTTCGAAACAAAGATCGCAAGTGATGGAAGATGTTGAGAGACTCTTATTGGTGTGGATAAATGAAAAACAGCTAGCAGGAGATAGCGTCTCTCAAGCGATCATATGTGAAAAGGCTAGGAAGTTGCATGACGATTTAATTAAAAAAATGCCTGCAACTAGTGATGATGTGAGTGAATTTAAGGCCAGCAAAGGTTGGTTTGAGAGATTTAAGAAGCGTAGTGGCATCCATAGTGTGATAAGGCATGGTGAGGCTGCCAGTTCGGACCACAAAGCGGCTGAAAAATATGTGCAGGAATTCAAGGAGTACATAGAAACTGAAGGACTGAAACCTGAACAAGTGTTTAATTGTGATGAAACAGGCCTGTTCTGGAAGAAAATGCCAAGCAGGACCTACATTACTCAGGAGGAAAAGGCACTCCCAGGACATAAGCCTATGAAAGACAGGCTTACTCTTCTCATGTGTGCCAATGCTACTGGTGATTGCAAAGTGAAGCCTTTATTAGTGTATCACTCTGAAACTCCCAGAGCGTTCAGGCA